CGTTTCTCTTGATGAGTGAAAAACAAATAAACCTATCTAGCCCAACAAGAGAGTTAACTTTAAAAAATTACATTTATCCGTTATTGGTGACAATATAAACTTAAACCTTCAAAACGGTTCTAGACGTACACATTTCGACTCCTTGTATTAAGAGGATGACTGCCACCAACATGCAGAACTTCATGATGTCAGAAAATTTCTGGTCTCCCAGTGTCGAGCTGTGATGAAATATCGTTTAGGTCTGCACGTTGCGCGTTAGTATTCGACTTATATACTCGAGACATGACGCCCACAAGAGTTGTAGTTTTACAAACATGGTGTCAGTTCTCTTTTGATTGGATGCAGTGAATAAGCAATGTATTTTTCTGATAACAATGCACGGGACATCTTAACCGTATATCAACTTGTCATGCGGTAGTGGAGCGTGCCTTATGGTTATACACAATCATAACCACAAAGATGCAATCTTACAGTGTCTGGTTAGTACTTACGGGCATTTCATTTATCATAATTTAAAAGGTTAAAGCAAAACCTCTTGCATGGGTCCTTACAAAGTACCTAATTTGAGAACGGGACACCTACATTATTATATGACGTTTAAAACACAAATTTGAAAAATATGATGACTAAGAAGCTACAATTTTGATTACATAACCAAAAAGTTTTCGTTTATGATAGATCCAGATATTTGATTTACCTTTTTGTATTATGTATGATAATTGCACTTGTATTTCACACACAGGCTTGCCTGTATTTTCATGCGCTTCGGTGCGTTCGTAGCGCCAGCTGTGGTATAAGCCTGTTACAGCTACTCGTCGAACACATACAGTGGAAGACTCGCGTTGCAACTAGTATATCATAAATGAAAACTTTTTGACTATAAAAACTGAGATCAAACTAAACTATTTTCACCGTTTTGATTACAATCTTTTCAGTGTGGAAACACGGTTATTTGCATGAACATTTGATGCTTGAGCAAACGGGCATCTGTACTTACCAACCCACACTAAACGAGCGTGGTGAGTTATCACGGTTGAACTCTGCACAGCCATGACAGCACACAACACAAATAAAACCGCCAAGCGTGAAGTAGTCTTTGGTGGCGATCCACCAGCAGTGGCGTGACAAAATGAGATGACGAAGACGATGATGATGATTTGCAATAGGAAGAACAAGAACAAAACAGTAATTGCCAATTTAGCTTGCGCAACATTTAAATCATTCTCTTGTAACCCCTCGTTTTTTTTTATTGCCACATTATTCTTATACATTATTCTATATCACTACTTCTAATTTCTTTTATAGATTTATTATTTAAATGTTCATTGAAATAATAAAAAAAAAGAAATTGTTGTATAAACTCAAAATTTGCTTCTTTTCATTCATGTACGTCATCTCCAACTTCACAGACCTCCAGATAGCCAAGTTTCCACATCAAAGTTATGCCTTCCAAGTCGTCATACTCACATTCCACAGTTTGTGTTCTGAACGTCTAATAAATTTCATGACTTCGACCGTCCGTTCCCCATGACTTTGTGCAGGCAAAATTCGTCCCATATTAACCAACCCCAATACTCCAACTAACCCTAACCTGTACTGACGAATAAAACATTTTAATAGTGCTAGCCCAAGCTTGTGACTTAAAATATTGATTAGTTTTTGAGAAATATTGGTAATTGATCAGCATTACGGACGAAAAATGGTACAAGCATATCCACCAGTCAGCTTTACCTCCAAAACTCTGCTCTGTTAGTGTTTTTTAAAGACAGAATTGTTTGAAATGATTGTTTCATTATTCTAGTTCTCTCTGTATACCTGTTATAGCCAGGTACCAGTTGCTTTTCCTTTCCGTTCTATATAATGCTAATTTCCCATCCTTAATGATTTTTAATTAAATATTGTATCTAACATCAAATTTGTTTAAGATATATTTTTCTTTGGCGTTTTTTTTTTTTTTTTTTGGTCTGAGATTAGTGTGAGGAGCAAATGAGAAACTATTTTAGGTTACGTAGTTAAAAATAAACTGAAAATACAGGCACCAAATCATTGCGGTCGGTAAATATCAGTTAACGATTAATCAATTATAATTGTCATTTTTTGAGATTTCAATTAAATTTTCATGTTTTACTTGTAATGTCTCAGTTGAAAATTGCTATTATAATCATTTTGAGTGTAATATGCAAAATAAATAAATAATAATAATAATAATGAAAAATAAATAAGTAAAAAATAAAAGAAAAAAAAAGAATTCCCTCCGTAATGCAAATTTTCACATTTCCAAGTTTAAAACTTCATAAAATCACAAATAACAGCTAAGTCTTTTATAAATCCTTTAGCCTTGAACTCTTCTTTTTCAGAAAATGTAGTTTTATTTGATCGACTTTGGTACGTGAGGAAAATTTGAGTAGGACGCAAATAACACGGAATGCCCCGTACACATATTCAATCAAACGAAAAAAAAAGAAAATTACTAATGATGAATCAAACTATACACTTCACATTAAGTTATTTATCTGCATGACTTGATAATAGGCAAATCCGATTATTTTCATGATTTACATCTTCCCTCTTTGGTCTGGTTAATTCTATTCGCAATTTTACGGACTATATCTAAGAAACTCTATTCCGTACCCCTGCATGATTGGACCGGTCGAAATGCTTGGCACATTACCGTAATTGCTTAAGGTGGTTTAAAGGCCACTTAATATTGCACACAATGCACAAAGGGAATTCAATAACAACCACTGTAACAAGTATTTACAATATCTAATATTTAGAACATTCTAAAAAATGTTATGGTGAATGGACATTTTACAATACATCCAACAACGTTATGGAAAACCGTACCCAACCTCCTGACATAAGAAAATGGCTTAATAATTAGAATATGCCTACAGTGACTGATACAGGAAGGATGTACTACTTAAAATGGTTCATCTTAATAATGAGTTATATTAATAATAATAATTAACTCAAATAAACAATCAAAATTTTTAAACAAAAATTATTTTAACTCTTAATTTGAGTGCACTGTGATTTCAATGAAATGCAACAAATAATAATTGATTGTCATTATTATTTCTTCTTACACCTACTTTTACCAATGGCTAGGATTGAACAGGCACAACCCGGATTTCAATTTCCAACTGATTAGCACTAGATCCTACCACATCACTCCATGCATGGCACAATCAAATACAAGTAACTGTTTGGATAAATTAAGAATTAGCTATGTAAAGAATTTATCAACAAAATAGACATATTTCATATGAACAGGTCTGTTAAACAGACTTGTATTTTAATACTATTTTAAAAATACAAATGTAACTGTTTTCAGTATCACTTATGCACCCTGCAAAGTCAGAAGGACGAGGATGTTTACACAGCACTTTTTCCTTGTATTAATTACATGTATCAAAGATATACTGTAACAAGATTCATCTTTATTACCAACTTTACTCAACAGTGTGTACTGTCAATCATCACTTTCTTACCCTGCTTCATAAACAAGTGCTATTTGAGACATTCAGATATCAATGGACAAAAAAATCACAGATGCATAGACCATAATATTCTACATGATAGGATGGTCTTTGAAAATAACAGGATAATATTTTGAAATAACTTGAAATGACTAGGAATCTCAACAATATAGTCCTGTAAAAAAAAGTAAAACTCTCTCTCACACCATATTTAAAAATCTACATTCCAGCTACTTATAAACATCCATAAGAGACCGCACGCTGAGTGCTTTTTTCAAAGAATTGAGATCAGTTGTCTCCCAAGCATAAAACACTATGTTAGTTGTGGACTGAACCATGAGAAAACCGTTGTCAGAAAATCTTCCCAAAATCCCGTTGGCTTCCAGCCAAACGAAGGGAGAGACTGCTGCTGTGGTCAATTTTATCTGATATGTTTGGGGTTTTTTTTGTGTCACTGCTGAAATCTGAAATATTAAAAAAAAGTTAAAATAGTGAGCTTAAGACTTCTGAGGTAAAGAACTCTAAAACCAAGGTGTAGCTTCTAATAATAAAGGTGCAAAATATAATGCATTTCTTTATGTGGAATAAAAAGTTTATTGAAGAATGATAAATCACCAGTGACATAATTTATAATAGAACAAAATATTTATATGCCCATAACATAATTTATAAAATTTGGCATATATGTACATGTGCCTCAATACAGCTTAATTTCAAAATACCCATCACTATCAGTGTTAATCTACTCATTTTGTTATACAGAGGAAACCATACAACAGTGAACATTATTTGCCAAAGTTATTGCAAGCAAATAAGGCAAAAGAAAGTGACAGAAAAGTTACAAAAAAAAAAAAAAAAAAATTCCAGAAATTTAAGTCATGAACACCATTTTTAATACTTTGAAATGCGATAGAAATCCTGTTTGTTGAACTTACAGTGACATTTGGCTTCTTCATCCCAACTGCTGTCTTCAAGGTGACAGGAAACACCCAGTTTCTCACCTCAGTGTGGACATCATTCAAAAAGAAAAAGAAAACACAGTGCTGCAGGCTGCTGCATTTGGCCGTCTTCAGCATAGCTGTGACATTGGCTTGAAATATCTGGCTAGCTGCTACCTTGGGCTGTGAAAAATAAAATATTTTTTGTTATTAATTCCCATCCCCTTTCCAAAATACTCTTTAGAACATTCAATAGGGGTCTATAGGAATCCTTTAGGATTCTTTGGGGCTCTGTAGGAATTCAATTGCCTTCCCTATAGGAGTCCTACCTAGGGCATATGTCCTATAGGACCCTACAGGATTTGGGGCCTTTTTCTATAGGACATCCAAAAGGACCCTAATAGGAAAATTCAGTCAGGGTAGGTAGGTAAGTAGGTAGGTACATACATACATACATAATTGCAGGGGATAATGTACTATATTTTACCATAATATCTCATTGAATAATACAATCAAATTACTCAAGAATTCTATAATTAAAACAGCAAAAAGGAGCAAAAAAAAAAAAAAAAAAATACTCACAGCATCTACTTTTTGTGCCCAAGTATAGAGAGGTTTTAAGTTGTCCCAGCTATAACATTGAATGTACAGGGTGTTACCAGACTTCTGTAATACCCTGCCTGATGACAGTGTGTCCACAACCAAGACAACCTTGAGCACAGCGCCATCTATGTATGGCGAAACCAGAACAGGACTGAAGAAATGCCTGGCGTAGTAGTGCAGCATTTTCCATTTTCCACCATATTCTGTTGCCAGTAAATAAAACCAACAATATTATGCCACACATTTACAATCATTAATTGATGTAAATTGACTTATCATGTAACTTTGTGATTTTTTTAAACTGTGTTAACTTTTTTTAAAGTCTTAAAGCCAGAGGGAGAAGGAGGGGGGGGCTTTTTATGAGAAAAGCAGTTTTTGTGCTATTATGTCAGAGAACCTTGGCTAAATTTTGATTCAAAATGGACAGATCACACACACACCCAAACGGATTTCCACAGGCTTGATAACTATGATCTGGAATATTAATCTGGAATTGACTGAAGTACTGGTAGACCAAATTTCAGACCAATATTCAGATTAAACATCTTCTTTTAAACAGCCCTATAAGCTTACTGTACCTAAAGATGCCCATGAGGGTGCTTGCCATATATCTTGTAACTGCCAATAGAGGGCTCCCATGGTCATCCCAACGCCATTCACCACTGTGCTCTGACTTCTACGAAACAACTCAGTTTCTGTCTTTATGCTCATGGCCTGGTTTATCTGAATAACACAGCATAATGCCATTATTATAATATATTGATAAACTGTGGTTTATCCAACAGTAAATATCTGCCATGTTATTCTTTTACTTCAGACCCTAAGTCTGCATCATTAAAAAAAAAACTTAATTCAGTGTTGGGATAAAATCTTACCATATTTACAGATAGGTGTCCAGTATTTTGGATATAAGATTGAAGGTAAATATGTATATTATTTAATTATAATAATTTAAACTACTGTACTGGACAACTGTCTTACCTGTGTAAGATATATGTAGTCTTTAAACTGCTGGACTGGATCAGGGTTAGATGGTAGATTTAGATAATATCCCAGCTGAGTCACCATCTGCTTGTTTCCTAAAATATAAAATAAAGTTCTTGAATAAAAGTTTGGAAGATTTTGGTGAGATGACCTGTGTGAACTTAACTTTTACCAGGTGAATTATTCACAGAGTTATCCAAGAGTCCCATGAGATTCCTATGATCCAAATACCTTTGAAGTTATAGTCCTTCTTGTAGTTCACCCCTTTTGATGTACCTATTCACGGAGCCAAGAATGTGTTTTTATTCATAACATAACTAAGATCAAAAGTGTTTACTAGCACAAATTCATAGTTTTTTGAATGGAAATTACAGCATATAGCAAAACAATACCATATTTTAAGTTTTGATCTGATGAATTTGAAAATAATACCAAGGTACAGTAGTACATGTTGAAATTTTCATGGCTGTAAAATTTCATGAGATCTGAATACTGATAACTGAATACCACTGCTGTCTGCGATGAGGTGGTAGAATGCTACGACAGATGGACAAGCTGATTTTTTAAAACAGAACACTACATTTATTTCATTGAGGGGTACGTTTTAACAGTTACAATCACAACAACAACAAAAAACATTAAACCTACCATCACCATGATGTTGCCTGTGGTCACAAAACTCGCTGTTGTAATTCCAGTCCTCTTTGACGCTGACTTTCTCCAAATTTTCAAAAGATGGCCAAGCCTCAAAGCCATACTCCGAGCAGAAACGAGGGATCTGATAGTGATTCCACTCCCAACTTTTAGTACCATAATCATAATGATGTACTGATGGGGAAAGGAAAAGAATTTATGGGTATATATTTCTTGTTTAAAATTATTGCTGAAATAGTGGAGTACATATTGAAGGTTAACTCTGGCATATATAAAGCAGCAAATTATTAATAAAAATAAAAATTTAAATCAGGTGCAAAAATTAAAAAAAATTAATAAATATAAAAAACTCACTGTCACCAAAATGGATGTCTTGTGGTTGCTTAGCAACCCATCCCTCCTGCTGAGTCTCAATCCCATTGGATGGAGAGGAGGGAATAAACGGTCTTGTTCTATCCAGCTTTTGTGTGATATTCATAATATTGTCAATATACAAAGTGACATAGTCTGCCTTGTACCTCTTGAAATCTGTTATATTATACCTAAAATTAAAAAAGTATATATTCAGCTGTTCTTTCTGATAAAAGTTTTTACATTAACTACATCAATATAGGCCTACCTGTAGAGGTATGAGCTACAGTAATAAATAAAGAAATCATGTGTCTTTAATTTAATTCAGTCATTATGCATAATTAGTTTAAATTGTTTTACTTATTCAAACATAAAAGCATTCTTTTTGGTTAAATTATTCAATTTAATACACTTTGCATGGTTCTTGATATCAAAAACAACTATGTTTTCTCACTTAACAACAAAAATGCACAACCAAAATGGCAATAATTGTGGTTCATAACAAAAATGCCTTAATTAACATGGCAATGGTTTGAAAAGATAACTAAGGTATGTGTACACTGCAGTCAGGCTAGAAAAATATTTTACAGAAAAAAGTCACCATTTCACTCTAGACTAACAACTAAATTTCACAAACACATCAGTTATTATTATTATTATTTTTTTTTTTTTGGTTGCTAAAATAATGATACTGAAATGAACCAAGGGCAAGTAAAAGATATAATTTCAAAAGCAAAAGAAAAAAATTGTTTTAAAGGTGTAAAAAAAATGAGCAATTGAAAATAAGGCAATATCAATCAATATTTTCTTCAGAAGATCATTGAAGCATTTACCAATCATTCATTAATCCCCATTCATTTTCATTATTCCCACTCCACAGTGCTACAGAGGGATGGTGCTGTAATCGGAGCACCTGTAAGGGACATCGGTGAATTATCAAGAGCAACTGATTGTGTAAGCGAGGGCTGATGGTGTGTACAGCACACAAAGGAAAATTATAGCAAAAATTATAAATTCAAGTCACAGTGACTACTGTAACAGTAGCTGGTCCAAACCAGCTTTCAATGCCCTTGCTGGAATAGCACCTATAGCTGAAAGTAAAACAAGTCTTAAGCTTGACCAATGCGCATAGCCTTGATGTCCTTTGGAATTCCAAACAGGTGTTTAACTTTCAAATTGCATTAGGGTGAAAGATAGTTACAATAGAACATGTAACTGAAAGTAAAGAAAATCCTACGATTGACATAATGTCTGCCAGTACTCTGAACAGGTGCTTCAAATTCAGGCTGCAATAGGGTTCCAGGCACTAAAATCTATTGGGGGCGGGGAAGGGCAGGGGAGGGGAGGGGAGGGGAAGAGAGGAGAGACCCTTGGTTACCCACAACTGCATGCTCAAATGCCAAAATCACTAATTGCCAGGTTGTTTTCAAGATAGATGCCATAAATTTATGTTGGCAAGCAAGCAGCCTGTCAAGCAATGATACACATCTCACCAGTTGTTGGCAATAGCGCCCTCATTCTCATTGTTTCCGCTCCACACTGCTATGCTGGGATGCGCCTGGAGGCGCAGGATCTAATATATTGTAAGAAAAACATCAACAAATGCAACTTGTATTTTCAAAACATAATTTGCAGTATTTATCACTTGGTAGATAGAAATAGACCCATGTACAACTGATGATGACCCAGCCAAATTACTGCAGCTGTAATAGGCAAGTAAATATAACAGCATGCACGTAATTTTTACATTTTATTACTTTTAAAACAAACTATAATATTTATATTATAAACATGCAGGCTTAATGTAGCACTCCCTGCTCAAATAATAAAAATAATAACAAAAGATTGAAAGGAAGTTAAATAATTTAAATAATAATAATAATTATTTTTTAATAATAGCAAAAACAAAAACTAAGAACCTTGTTCACTTGTTCTATTTCTTTCTCACAATAAACAACTTACTTGATGAGTAACTTCTGTCTGTATACTGTCCAGGAAGTAGTCATCTACAGGATACAGGGCACAAGCAAACATAAAGTCCTGCCAGATCAGAATGCCCAGCTCATCAGCCAGGCTGTAGAATGTTTCACTCTCATATATCTGAAGGATGACAAAACCGACAGTGTTGATCTCCAGCTAAATTAATTAAAAGCAGTGCCCCCAGTTTTAAAGAGAGTTTGGAACTAACCTAAAATAGCTACACTAGTACTACACTGTTCAGACTTATGCAGTAGTCACATATGCTGGCCAGACTGCTGGAAATTATGCTAAACCTCTAGTAATATATATGAACCATAGCCTCTGAAGTATATTATTTTAATATAAAAACATCATTCCCTTGTATATTTCAGGGGCAAATGGAGGCCATCTTCTGGGTCTTCCAGAAGACGTCATAATTTTTCAAGTTTACATTGATGGGCATCTAATTTTTCTGTCAGAAGAC